AGGATAAATTTTAAGTGAATCTTTGCTATTTTTGTAGTCCATGCTTGTTTTGACTCGGGAACACTTTTTAATCCTGGTTTTCCCGGATTCAGGAACATTCTATAGTCCGAATTCCTATGGATTTAAGATACTTTCGAAATTAATATCTTGTCGTTATCCAGAAGTTATTTAAACCACAAATAAACGCATCCATCAAACGAGGTTACGACAGAAACTCGTTCTAAAGGAAAAGCAACGGATAGAAAATAATTACGAATTTTTGTGGATTCGGGATATTTAGAAAATGCTAATCGTTGAATACATTCAGGATACGTTACGAACTTCGTTATCGTGGACAAAACAGGAAGAAAGATGGCTCCGTTCACAGAAGAACAAGTAACAATCATCGGCATCCTATTCGGAAATGGATACAAGATAAAAGTTGATTGATTAAGCCATTGACAAATAAGTTCTTGCTCTTTATGTAGCGGAAGGCATTGACAGAATCGATGATAAGAAACCGCTACTTAAACTAAATGCTGTAAAGTCCGTAAATAGCTTAAAAGTTATGAAGCGTGTACCCGTTTCAGATAGACAAATATCCAATTTATCGATTTTCGATGCTCGATGTCGTGAGAAGAGAACCCGTATTTTTCAAAAGTATTATTTTTTATTACTTTACTCTACGATATTTTCTTACTGGACAAAAATAGTCATCGATCTGAACAATAATTATGATAGTCTGGATGACTTTTTTTATAAAGGAACCGGCTGTAAATGTTGTCAACTCTACTTGTAATTATACGAAGTTAAACGTGACTTTTTTTTTCAAAATGTAAGAAAGTAACAATTTTTTCATCTTCATCAATAAGAAAACGTAGTAAATTTTTGTTAGTATCGATAATAAAAGCGGTATTTGTTAATGAAAATCTTCGTCTCCCAACCTTTTCCGAGTGTGCTTTGCTTTTAATGTATTTGAATACGCAGCATCCAGTTTCGTGTGATCGCGAGCTACCGGTTGAAAGATAATCGATTTAGATACCGATAAAAATATAAAAATTTCAGTAAAATATATATATAAATTATCGTTAAAAATTCAAAAATGTGGTGAAAAAGTTCAATAAACGTGTTTTATTCTTTCAAAATGTTTAATTTATCAAAGCTATAATATAACATGTTATAGAGTTAAATAAGAAATGTAAAGATTAAATTCATTAAATACCATCATTTTGACGCATAATTTAAAAGGTTAAACTGTTATTTAGAAAGTTATTATTCATTGAAAGTGTGAGTGAAGTGAGAGATGTTTATTGACTTATGAGAATTTCGTGTTAATTAGTACACTCTTTTGCTTCTAGAATGTGTCAAACGAGCACGTTTCTCGAAACAAACAGCAAAATCTTTTCTCTCTAAACTTCAGTTTTATCTCTAAATAAATAATGAAAATATCAAAAAAAGTTTTCATTAGAAATTTAAGAGGTTTCTCGTATGTCGGTTGGTTGTGAAGAATTTAATAGGTTTCTCGTACAAAGTGATTCTCCAATAGAGAAAAACTTTTTAAATTACATATTTAAGCTTAAAATTACTCCTACACATTTATAAATTTATAAATATTTTAAGACATAAAACAAGAAGTAAGAATGAGCTACGTTATGATACATATAATGAGAAAATCTTAATTTACACAGGAGTATGAGAAGGTAAAGAAGACAGAAGGTGAGAATAATCAGTAAAATATAGAACAAAAATAAAGAATATTAATTTTGATTACTGAAATCCTCTATTTTCTTCGTCTTTCCATTCTGTAGATAAAGAAAAGAAGATGGAGAAACGATCAGAGGATAAGAATTATTCGAATTTAATTTTGTATAAATTAATGTTGATTATTCTTTTCTCCTATCTTTCCTGCCACGCTGATAAAGTTAATGGTTGAAGATAGTGCTGATTATTCTTCCCTGCTAAAGATAAGGTGAATGGAAGGATTGTGTATGAGAACACATTCGATTATTTCTATCCTCTTCCTAATTTTCCTTATAGGAGAGGAAAGAATCAGAGAGAAACATAGTGATAGAGAGTGAGCCGAGTTCTGCGTATTCTATAGATAAATCATTTAAGTTATTTGCACTTTTCTAACTCTGCATCGATTTTAGATGCGACAAATCAATTTTCCTGAATTTTTTAGTAAATATTCCACAAAATTTCCCTCAATTTTTAAAGTAAAGAAGAGTTTCTCTAACTTTCCAATCCGTAAACACTTAAACACGACATTCGTATTGACTAGCTTATACTTTATTAGCTTTCAGTTTACGTTTCTCTTTATTATTAGATTTTCCACGGATTTCTAAACAGGTTGGTAAATTTTGCACACGATTTCCTTAAGGCACAACAGTGTTTGTGAAAATGTTGTAAGGTTTGAACGACAGGAAATCGAGTTGGAGTCGTTGCCATTCGATCAACTGTCAAAAGTTAATTGGGATACGTCGGTTATTTGGCAAAAATATTTACTTGGCATCTTAGATTCCATACAGAATGACAGCTTAATCCACAGTAGAAATTTGATTCTGTCAACTTTATACCAAACAAAGGTACTGCGATGTGTTTATACCTGTTTAACCTTTAATGTAGCTAATACTAAACGCTACAATGACGAATTATAACTGTTATACACATAATTTTACTGATTTTTGATGATAAAAACGTTAACCTTTTAAGTACATCGGTTTAATATCATCTAACCCTTTGCATAGTTATGAAACTGGAGAAATTTAAGCGTTGTAAATTGGTTGATGGGGTAAAAAGGTCAGCAATTTTCTATGCAGTATAAAATGATATTTAAAAATTAATTGAGAATCGACTTAATTTTATTAAAATATTGTCCAAAAATTGAAAAAAAGAGTGTTTTTAAGCAGTCTTTTGTCTTTCTGTACGCATTTTCTTTCATTTTTTGTTACTCCTTTGTTCTCTTCCATGGTTTCGTGGTTCGTAGACTTTTATGGAGCATCAATTTTTTGTTTTTTTTTACTATTTTGTCAGTTATTCTTCTTTTTAGTCTTTCTATGGATTTTTTATAGCTCTTATAGATGAATATTTATAATTTTTTGCTTTTTAAAACTATTCTTATATACATTTTACAGCTACTTTTGACTTTTCCGAATATAATTTTGAGATATTCGAATGCCTTCAAAGGTATTTTTTTTTTGCTATTCTTTCAGTTTTTTTTGCATTTTAATGGACATATTTCTAAGTAAAATAAAAACAAAAGACAATAAACAATCTAGAAAAAAGTGAAAACACAAAAGAAAAGGGTTTATGAGCATTCCTTCTTCAAAAGAATTTCTGGAAAATAACATTCTTTCTCGACTAGACGTGCAATAAAAACAAAATTGATGAAAAAATTAATAAATAAATAATATTTTCAATACATAAAAAGCTAAAACCAGTTGATTTAAGTCCTTATAACTATAAAAAAAACGCAAAAAATTGAATTTTTTACCCGAAATTCGGCAAGTATTAATAATAAATCATCAACCAGATTCTGCAGAGGTCAAAGTTCGCGCGTGAATTTCTAGGGGACGTAGTGAAATTGTATTGAATTTCATGATATAGTACTTGAATCAATACATTTATAATATTTTTCTTTAATACGGAACGTGACTTTACAACATGCCAATCAATATATCATGTCACGAAAGCTCGACACACGCGTACAGATTGACGACCTCTGTACTAAATCACGTGTGGTAAGTTAAATTCTCCTCTTGAGGAATAAAATGCTATTAAAAATGAGGAAACGTTCTCGTAACTTTTATACTTAAACTGTGAATTGTCGAGTTCTGTTCACGACTGAATGAATGAAAGGTGTAAAAATGATTTTTATACGGAGTTAAATGTATATTTTGTGGTCCATTATCTTTATAATTTAAGAATAAAAATTGAGGAAAAGTCATAAATTATCTTTCACCACCCAAACAATTGAACAGCAAAAAAAATCTCTCTTAATTTTGTGCTTTTATTGAGTTTCGATCCTCTCACGAGTATAGATTTTGGCTTTTCTCTTCGTCTTAAAAGTTATTTTTTGTTTTCTCTTATTCTAGAAATGAGATTTTTGATTTCCTCTTCTAGAAACGAAAGGAATTTCTGGCATTCTCATTCTAAAAATGTGAAGATTTTTGATTTTTTTTGTTGTACAAACAAAAGTTTTTCACTCCTTTCTTCTAAGAATGAGAAAATTTTCTAACTTATATTAATAAAATAAAAGAAAATCTTAATTTATATTGCAGAAAATGAGAGATTTTTCAAGATTCTCTTTCAAAAATCAAGAAAATTTTCTTACTTTTTTTTCTATTTTTATAATTAATAAGCGTTTTTTGAAGCTTTCATTTCTAGAGATTCTTCCACAGAAAAAATTCTCCAAAACTAAAAGCATTCCGAATTTTTATTGTATATTTTAGATAATTATCCAACCTTTATTATTATTATTATTTTATTTCTTTGCATCGGGCATGTTAATAAACGTTAGGCAACTCCGCAGCATCACGAAGCTGTGCGGAAAAGCTATTCTTAGTATCTCAGGGGTAAACAAGAATTTGTCTCCGAATTTCATCTTTCATTTGGTAGAGGATCATTTGTAGCCGATACAAATCGTACAGATTGAACTTTTCCAATCGAATCGCGTGGAGAATGGCTGAAATCTTTCTCAATAGCACTTCACCACTCCTGTTGGAAGTACACTCGAACGAGATCTGACCGAAATTAGAATTGCAGAGACTCACTTTACGCACTCAAATCTCTACTTATGAATTTTTACCGCCGAAATAGAGTTAATTTAAGTGGATATCGTTTCACCATCGTTCGAAATTTATCCAAAATTTGCATATCTAAGACGGTGGAAACGTGGTTTATTTGTAGGACCATACTCAAAAAAAAAGGCTGGTAGAGGGGTTGTTATAACGCCGTTTATCACGAAATTGAGAGAAATGGAGATCGCGTGGGCGGTTGCTAAGTTACAAAAGGAGTTTTACCTGGGTGACGATGGTGTCGTCGTCCAGTAGGGAGGTCCAGTTGTAGTCCCATCCGCTGTAGCAGGATACACGAGGCCAAGTGGCATTCCGGCGCCAGCTCCTGGGATTCTGCTGCCTGAATCGACTAAAATTGACGCTGAACACAGTGCACCTGCAGAAAGTGCGGTGGTCGCGCTGGAAAGGGATTGTTAGTTCCTTCTTTATATAATCGCTGACGTTCAAATTGGCCAGATCTGGCACGTGGCACCAATGATCGGGCGAGAGTGACATGAATATCTGGCTGTAGGCGTGGGAACCGTACGGCAAGTGTGCTGGCAAGAACACGAACCACAGCAGCAGCTGCTGGTACTTGCCGTATTCACCGACATCCGATAAAACGTCGTCCAACTCCATGGGAGAGACGTTGCCGTGCGACTGCTCCTCACCTCTACTCCCGCTTTTTAACCCCAAGACATTTTCCGACACCAGGGCGGCGCTGTGCCATCCGCATGGACCTCGTTGACCAATCCGAGATGATCTTACATTAGTCCTTTAACGAGATCTGAGGCCTGTGTGAATGGGATGAAGTTCGGAAGATTCGAACTGGTGATGCTCGCTTGAAAGAGGATAAATCGATCGGTCAGTGCCTTGATTCAAAGGCTAAATTTAAAGGTTTTTCATTAAATATCAACATCCGGATGTGGAAAAAACTCTATTTTGGAGGTCGTGTTCGGAGCTTCTAGTCCTTATTATTCGATTTTGGAGAGAATTTAAGTGCTAGTTACCCTCATATTACTTATCACATGTGTATTCCCTACGAGAGAATATGTTTCCTCATACAAACGATGAAATATTTATGAGATAACAGAGAGAAAAAGGAAGATATTTAAATTTTCTTTGTATACATTTTTAAAATTTATGATCTTCCACGTTTTCTTATCTTTTTTCGGCTGATTTTATAACGATTTAACTGTGTCGAATTACTATAATAATAAAAATTTGTTTAATATATAGCTAATATCATAAAATTTACTTTGATACTTATACAGATAAGTAAAATATGATATTTATACACGAAACGAGTAAAAAATGCACAGTTTAATGCTATACACGAAAGAAAAATATAAGAAACATACCATATTTGGCAACATTATCATAGAAAAAATATATTTTTCTATACAAATGTAAGTCATTTATATTGAAATTTTACTCAAATTTTTAGTCAAAATAATTTACTTTTGTGAAGGAAAGTCGCCGGGAACACTTTATTTGACATTTTATTATATATTTAGAGAGGAAGGAAGTGTTAATGAGCAGTAAAATACTCATAACATCCACCGAAGCATCGTGAACGTGTATTATTCCTTTCAATATTGTTAATGGAAGAAAGAATATACCCTTTAATCATAAACTAGAATAAGCAAGAATATATATACATTAAGCAGCGAGAATTAGCAGCACTAATTATAATTATAAGATGATAGAGAGCATCCCTCTGTTGCGCGGGAGAGGCATCTATTGGGAGTTAAAATGTTAAAAAATAGCAGAAGCAAGGATATATTTACTAAATACAGTACTGGAATGAATATGCATTTGCTAATTAGTAGTAAATTAAGGGAACAACTGTAGAAAATCCCTACTAACTACCAAGTAGTATGATAGAACAGCACTCCTAAAGATATATTCATGAATTATAGTAGAAAAAAAAGCACGAGTAGGACAGTATTTTCAAAAATTTACATTTGTTAATTAGCTGAATGAAAGAGAAACGATGGAAATGTATATTTATAAACTAGAAAGAATGTAGAAGAAGAGCAGTGTAAAGCAGGGAAAAGAATGCAAAGTATCTATCTATATTGCGAGTAAGAATAGCAACAGAAGGAATGCTATACTTATTATGTAACAGGAACAACGACATATTCACAAATTAAAAAGAACAGCAGCAGTAATAGATAGGAACACAAACTAGGAAGAATAAACTAGAGAGAGCAGCAAGAGCAAAGTTACATCTACAAAACAGTACACTATTGTTGGTCCTGCTGTTCTTTTTGTATTCCCAAATTAAAAAGAATGAACAAGAAGGAACAGCAGGATCAATGATATACTTATAAACTAGAAAGAAAGAACAACAGGGTACTTTTATTAACTAGTAACTACTAGTTAAGGAAAGTTGTTAAGCAGCAAGAATGGTAAAGTAATGGCAGATCAAGTGAACAACCTCCGATCACAAAAGAGTAGAAGGATCGAGTGTAACCTTCAATGATAGACAATGTAATAACTTCTTATAGGTTTTATCAGATGCAGTTAAGCTTTCTTCTCCATCTTTGACAATATTAACCTAAGGAAGATGACAATTTAACACACATTTAATGGGGATTGTGACAAGTGAGGATTTTTCTCATTGATTAATGATCAGATGTCGACATCTATTAGTTCATTGTTAACAGGAGAGTGCCATTAAAGAATTCTTTCTTTTACTTTTATGTTTCTTTTTATAGGGGGATGAATTCGTGGTTATTATCCAGCCAACGTTACTTATAATTCTTATAAAATTAATATATTTCGTTATTTAATATTATAATTAAGAAGGTGATAAAGTATTAAGAACATTTTAAACTGTTTATTTTACATATTTTTAAAATTTATCTTTTGAAATATATTAAATGTTGCATTCCTTCACTCTTAATTATTGTCTCGACATAAACACTTAAGACGATGCCCTATTTAAAATGCTCTTTATAAAATTCCTCTTAACTTTGTGATTTGTTTAATCTTAAATTCTCTTTCGGAAATAGGGCAATTTTAATAAGATAGAATAATTTCAAGCTCTCAAATTTCCCTTATTAAACAAAAACTCCCTTTAAACAGTAATTTTCTTTTAAAAATGTTCTTTTGAGTGATAAATCCTTTACAGATATTCTTTATAATCCTGAAAATATCCCTTTCCAAATCTAAAATCCCTTCCATTAACTCAAGAACAACGTAAAAATAAAGAATCGAAAAGCAGGAAAGCATAAAAAATTCACATAATTAAATTAAAAAAGGAGATTAAGTAACCTACGACCTCGTTTAGTGGTCAATTACGAACAGTAATACGAAGACCGACCAATCAGCGTTTCCATATTTAACCACTAGTAATTGACAAGTTCCTACACGAAGTAATTAGCATAACCATTGGCGCCGCGACATAATAAATAACATATAACTAATCATTATTAAAATTGCATATTGTTTACCTTAATAATTCATAAATCCGTGTAAATCAGGTTACCATCACAGGCACGAGCCACATCTTAATCAAATTCTAACCAATAAGTACATTTGTACACGCGCTGTACACCAGCAAACCGCAAGATAATCATCTATATTCACCGTACCCGGCGGAGATCTCGAGAGAGAACGATATTTATTGATTTTTCTGAAGGGATTCATTCAAAGTTTGCTGATTCTCGAGAACACGAATAGATATATATCAGTGTGAAAAGGGTCAGTATACAGTACATTTATATTACTTTTCGTTTCTTGGGTCAGTGCCAACGTCTCTACACCGTAAAAAATAGGAAACACGCGAATTTAAAGACGGGTACGTGCGCTAAAGAGACTTTTCGTGAATAATTTATAAGGTTTCCAACTTTATTCCTCGGAGATAATATTTTTATATTAATTATTTTGGTCTTTTTCGATGGTCGATGTCCGAATCAACAGGAGTGAAATCGTGTGTTAAAGTTGCAACTGGTTGTTTATTACGGGTCTGAGATGGTAAGTAGTGTAGGGCATGAAGTACCTTTGTTTGTTTATTTAGTTAACAATTGCAAGTGATTAATTTCTTCGCCTTTATCTTTTGCCTGTGGTAAAAATGTTGTCGTCTACACTAAAAACATTTCTGTCTCTGATTATTCTGAAAACGTTCTTCCTCTTTATCTTGAACACGTTTCTTCTCAGTTCCTTTTTTATTATGGACACGTTTTCTCTGTTCGTTCTTTTCCTGAAACCGCTGTCTTTCCGCGGTTTCTGTTTATCCTGGACACGTTCGTTTCTCGGTTTCTTCTTATCCTTTCTTATTTTGGACACGTTCCCACTCGGTTCCTACTCGTCCCGAAACCGTCGCCTCCTTCGGCTCTTGCTTATCCTAGACACGTTCTTTCTCCTCAGTTCTTGCTTATCCTGAACACGTTTTCTCCTTTGCTTATTTTTTCTATTTGTAGGATAAGGTTGGATAATCGAAACAGTAAAGAATAAATTAAATTTTCAAAAACTTACAAACCAACTTTATTAGTGAATGTATTTTTGAAACGGCTTCGTACGTGATAAACACAGCCTAAAACTGTCTTACATAAATTTGGAATTGTACTAAATTGCGAGTAAAGTGAATCTGAATCAGTAATAGGGATATTCGAATCAAGTACATTTCTGACAAAAATTCAATGAGTAAAATGCGATTTTTTACATACAAATTCAAATCCAATTCGGATTTCTTGATGCCAGCGATTACACATCTGACATTGGATTTCTATGGCATACTTTATCCCAGAAACTTGTTGATTGTTCTCGTGCAACTGTCAGGCAGTAACGTGGAACCATTAGTGAATAAAAGTTTTAAAATGATACCTGCACACACATCGGATTGTGGTAGTAACGTGACCACTTCTTATTCATTTCCATGGAAAATGGTGCTGCTTAAGTTGATTCGAATACCTCCCTAACTCTATTTCCCTGAATTCCGAATAATTACTACCATAAGTCCTCAGATTGGTTCAGGAGATTAAAGAGATGAGAAATGTTCCTGATACATAAATCTCCCTGAAAATTTTCAGAAATTTTCGGGGGATTTACAGTAAAATATTTAAAAGACATATAAATATTATGGCATTTACTTTAAAAACAGAAATAAAAATGCACAATTTCCTTTACAAAATATTAAAGTTTAAAAACTCTTTTTAACTATTCATTTAGAGAGAAAAGCGACAACAACAAAATTAATAAATTAACATAAAAAACAATTTATATACATTTGTAAGAACTCTTGGCGTATTTAAAGCATTTTTATATTATTTAATTAATGAAAAATAAACAAACAATTAAATTTTTGGAAAATTTAAAATGTTAATTAAAAATCTACCATTGTTATATGAAATTTTAATCTTAATTAAATTATTTTAATGAGATTTTTCTCTTGCGAATTTGTTATTATTAAAGAAAACAGCTTCGGCGATTTTGCAAAATATCCCTCTCTCTCTCTCTCTCTCCTCCTGTTTATCCTTTTCTGTAATTTGAAAGATAAATGCAAAATATTCTCCTCGAAATTTTTGTATTTTCTTAGTCTTTTTATTTACTTAAAATAACTAAAAATTATCGAGAATTTCCAATTTTTTTCGAAATGATACCATTTATTTCTAAAATACACAATTTTAAACTGTTTTTTTGGATATA